GTATCTGATTGTATAGAGCGCCGACGATTGAGGCAATACCTTATTTACGTAGATTTATGTTAGAATTCAATTGTTATAATAAAAACATCAAATAAATAAACCTTCTGCTTACCTTTTCTATTGTTTATAACTATAAACGTTTCGAACTGCGTGTAACATTATCTTGTTAACCGGTTAAAGGATTTTTTTTAAATAGTAAATCTGGCCAAAATTTAATTTTCGGGCAGAATTAAAATTTTTGTGATTACAAAATTTCGCTAGTTTTGCCCAAATTTATAGTGGGCCTGAGTTAAAATTAACCGGTTAAGTAACCGGTTAAAGAAGTTTTTAACCGGTTCCAACCTTTACTAAGTCGTTTAGCGACGCATGTGTTCCGATTACACATGAGTATTAATCCAAGATGTCTAGAATCTCCAAGGACAATTGATGCATTAAGTGTAAGCATGGTATAAAACTCACTTTCTACTGCAGAAAATTTCTTTTTTTAAGATTTCATTATTTTCGTTGTAGTTGCGTTATGGTAAAAATGTTTATTTAAAAAAATCTTGCAGATTTTTTTTTATCCCGACTAAAAACAACGCGATAAATTATTAAGTTTCGTTTCATTTTTTTTCTTTTTATTTATGTGCTAAAAAAGGTACGATTATTAGGTAAATTAACTTGTCGAGTAATCGAATCTTTTTTTTTTTTTTATTGAACTGTAGTCAATGAGGCTGAACACATAACATATTTCCTTATTTGAAGCTAATGGATGTTATTTTGCTTTTTGGAGAAGGCAAACGAATCATACTGAAGGAGAAAGTTTATGTCGCAAATGTTTACATATTTTGTAGTTGCTGTCATGCCATGCCGATCATGTAAGTGAAGAAATAATGTGTTTATCTCTTTTGTTACCATATAGCAAAAATAAAAGTTAGTCTTCCTTTAAAAACGGAGAGCAATGATAGCGAATATTTAAGAAAGTCAAGGGACGAGATTTTACTAGCGACAAATGGATCAGAAAAGCAAGAAGCAATTGGATAGTGATACTATTTGTATATCAATTGCAATTAATTGGTCGATTTACAGTAAATTTAACGTCTTTTTTAAATTTTTTTTTATATCATTTATAGAGCGACATCTGAACAGCGAATCTTCTGCACCCTCCAAATCTACGAAACATCTGAATTTCAAGACCTTCCAAATGGTATATAACAAAGGAACGAAATAGTTGAAATTATATTTTTATATTAAATAAGATATGAAAATCGAGTTATATGGTTTCTTGCCTCTATTTATAGCACATTACATAATCAATTATAAGGATAAATCACGTGGTATCACATTAATTAATATTCAAAAGAAATTTATGTGTTATTGTATTTTGCCCTATTCAATTAATAAAAATTGATTTATTTAAAATAAAGTAGTAAAAATTATACAGAACACCTGTGTGCAGTCTGAAATATCATAACAGTGCTCACTTTATCTTATATGGGACTTTAGACAGTTACATATAAATCTCATTCATCGCACATGAGAATTAAAATAAATAATTAAAGGGTTGGGATTGGTCGGTGATTTCCGGTAGCTTTCTAAATATGTCGGAAAATTATTACAACAAACAAGGAGGGGAGGGTGTACGAGTTGAGACCAAAAGAAGCAGTTCTTTTATAAAGTTTATGTTGTATTGCATTCGCATGAAAAAAGTAGCTAATATATGCATACAAAATAAAGTTTCGGTTCATGATTATTATTATTCTTTGTGAATTTAACGATTAATTACTAAATTAAGCAGTTGTGACAACAGTTTCGATATTACAGTTAGCTAGCTGTCTTCCAATTCTAAGACTTCAGTTTCTCAAGGAGTTTGTGCAATAATTTCTCGGTTTGTTAATAAGATAATATACATAAAAGTTGAATTATATAAACTTGCGCGTGGTATTAATTTAAATTCATATGGACATATTGCATATCATATAGGTTAAAATTGAGTATGAGACATAGTAAATCATATGATCCATGCCTCAATTTTAATAGCACACCACCCATATATGTATTGTATATATATATGGATACACATTGAATATGCATATGGTTCTTGCAGAGAAATTGCTATTATCACAAATTCCCTAATTCGAATCAATTATTAATTATTACTTGTAGATCTGTATAAATACATTCCAATTTAGCGAAATAATCACCACCAAATTTTCACTTTCTTCATTAAATATGGGAACGCAACTTGTTAATATTTTTATATATAATAAAATTTGTATTTGATTGGTTAAATTTCACGTGAATGTCGATCAACATCGGAACAACCATTTTTGAAAGCTTAATTAATTGACGTAAAAGATTTATTGTATTTGCATTACCAGTCTTGGAGCTATGATTTAAAAAATAAAAAACAAAATTACATAAATTCAACTCCTTATAATAAAATACTTACAAGATTTAAGACAACTAACTTCCTGAAGATATTAACGTTTGTATGTTCTGATGGATGTTTTCTCTTCAAAAAGGTTCTTTGACGAAAAGTTTAAATTTTTTCATCTTCAAGGATCGTTGTACTATGAATTGGTAATGTCAATAGTTTCACTCGTTTCTTAATGATTACAAACAAGGTTAGAAATCAAAGTCACGAAATTTATATAAAGAAAGATGTCCATTGTATCATTTAAATAAGAACATTCCGATGTGTGTGTGTGTATATTTTATGTTTTGTGAATTTTTTTATTGTTTTGAGTTTGTATTTTGTGTTTTGTGTGTTTGTTTTGTTAGTGAATTTGTGTAATTGTTGTGTAAGAAAAATCAAATGAGTGGTGATTTAGTATGATTTTCATTCTATATTGCTAAGAGATAACGTTAGGGACGAATGTTTGAAAAAATTATAAATCAATACTTACTCATTTGGTCAATCCGACTCCATTAATTATTACACTATATACTTTACAAATATTAATCCTACCCTATTCCTTTACGCACCACTCGTTTTATTATGTGTGTGTAAACGTTGAAATTTAATACAACTGGAGAAAATTAACCGACGGGCTAAGTATTAATATTTCCTTTATTTAGCAGGGCTTAATTGGTGTAATTATTGACATCTGTCATAGGGCTTTTTTAGAAATTATTTGATGGTGGATAATAGATTTCAAGATAGAACTTTTTAGAAAATTTGCGTGATTGTTAGGCGTGTTAGGCGTAAGTTTCCATGGAAAGTTTTAGAACAAAATCTTTATTTGCATTTTATTTTTTTATTATATATGGGGTGCTTTTTTCTTGCTTATTCCCTTATATGATACGCAAAATATTACTATTTATACAGTTAAACAATTATAGATATAATTTTATATAGAAAAAGTTTAAAACTTTAACCAATTATAGATATAATTTTATATACCGTATTCTTCCGATTTTAAGCACCACCTTTTTAAAGGAAAATTTTGACTAAAATTCGGGGTGGTGCTTAAATTC